AAAATTATACGAATTAAATAAAACAAATATGGACGATCTATCGTACAAACAAATAAATGTATTGACATATGACTTATCAGTTAAAGACTATACAAAAGTTATTAATCAAACGTTTAACATAGGAGCATTAAAACGTAAGTTACATGAATATATTGGACATAAAAGAAATATAGATGATGTATTTCCAATTCATTGTCGTTTAAAGCTGTATATTATTGAAAGTCAAATAAGCAAGCTTGAGAATAACAATTTAAAATCTCTAAATATTTTACATAAAGCATTATTGTGTCATACTGTTGATGATGTTATTGAAGCTATTATTTGGTTATTAAAAAATAATTATTATCATCAGACAATTATTCAAACATTAATAGGTGATATATCAAAATGGAATACAACGGAGCTGTCTAATGCATTAATCGTTGATATTAATCTACCAAAAATTTGTGTACATTACAAAGACTTTGTATCAAGTCCTCACTTAAAAATGATAAGAAAATATGAAACATCCATAACTAAACGATTGGATATTGATCATTTGAGTGCGGGCCTATCCTATATTGACATGTGTATGGCTGTTGGAGGAGATCCAACATGTGTAGCATCAAATTTTATTTTAGCCGCAATTTGTTTTTATGAATTAATGAAGAAATGTGTCGATGCCGATAAAGCTTATGCATATAGAAATGTTATTAATGATCTTTCTATACAAAGTTTTTTTTTGTCCAGGCGTTATTTGCCACCACATATGCAGATCTATATTTGTAAATTGGCATTTACATTAATGACAAAAACTAGTCAATTATTTAAAAGATATGTGACTCTGACACCGCTAACACTATCATCAAACAAAACTCAATCAAAACAACTCCTTGTAACAAAGCAACAGAGTTTAATTCTTAGTGAACTGTTAAAAAATATTGTTAATAGTGCAAAAATATCTCCATTTATTCAACTGCCCACTTCCCTAAGCTATGATACATTATATTTAGAATTAACTGGACAAAAGTTTTTAACAAAATTTTTAAATAAAATGGCAAACCATAAGCGACAACAGGAATTGTTTCCAGCTCATCTTTATCAACAAAACACACGATAAAGCGTAAAATGCTTTCACGCAAAATCATGCTTGTAGATTTGTGTCAATTTAATTAATAATAAGATTTGGACCAGCCATACACTTTCTCAATGTCCCTGTTTAATAAATCAGTAGCGACTTTTAGTGATTCATGCTCAGTATGGAGAAGAACGTCCTCAGCGAAGAGTCTAGTCACCGAATTTAGCACAAGATAGGTATGCACCAGTATCGGTATACCTTTTTTTTCATTTTTTCATTTGAAATGAGGTATTTTAGCACCCTGGACAAGCAGAACGTATAAACAACACTCAGCTGTGTATTTGAGCATGTATAGAAAAACTTTGGCTTTAGAAAGCAAACAAAGCTCTTGTTTTCCGTCCCTGATTCATTCTGAGTGTCCAGGACGCTACATG